GAGACCATATTACAGTTTAGTAGCCCCGCCCCTACGGAGGGTACCGGTGACAGTTTGGGTAGTTAATTACTTCTGCCCTACGCGCTGACCTTTCTTCCACCAATCAGCGAGCTTGAAGAAACACGCCAAATGCGTTCTAATTAAATATGCGCATGTCATTGGTCAATTTCGGGCTTAACGATGACGTCAGAAGGAATCATCATATATAGAACGTCGTTCAAATTTGGCCGACAAACACTGATTGGCGCGGTGAGTTCACAGGTTTATTTTAGTTTGAAAGAGTGAAGACGAAGCTCTCTTTTAAGAAGTGAGGTCAAACGAATGCAAAGGGTATATTGGCATTATAGGTTGGCTATCATTTACAGATAACAAAATAAATATATAATATCGAGCTGTTTTGGACGACTGTGCGTCGAAGGGTATCCCAGGAACCAGAGGGGTTGGTACCAAGTAAAAGTGGTGTAAAAAAAAATATATATATTGACTTCTCCAGGGCTAAGATGAGACCCCTATGCTTACATCTTGTTGTCATGAAGAAAATTGCTGACAATGGTAAGAAGTTTGCTTAGTTCTGCCAAAGACAAAGTTTCATCACCATATACGAGAAAATGAAGTTTATCATTCATGTTCCATGTTCATCATGAGTGATCTTATTATAAAACTGGTATTATTGATCTCTTTCATCAGGGCATGTCTATTATTTCGGCATAAAGGTCATTTGAAAAATAAATATTTTAGTGTTTCGGACCATAATCATGGTGCAGGATGTTGAACCATAATATCCAGCTACCATATGGTATGACTCCACCATTGTTTTGCCGTTTTACTACATGCCACAATCAACCTCACTGCCAGCATATCAAACCAGGTCCATTTTCCATCAAACTTGGCCCAACTACTACCAGGTGGATGTCCTTCAAAAATCAAGTTGGCATGGCTACCAAAGCCTAATAGTTGCCATGGCAACAGTAGAAATGGGGTAAAAAATCAGAGCAAAAAAGCACCCAAACCCACCATATTGGCACTAATTTATAAAATATTTCTAGACATACAAATTTTCTTAAACTTTTATATCATCTAGGACACTTCTAGACAACAAAAATATCAAAAATTGGGGGTAGGTTTACCACTTCGATTTTTTTCTAGGCTTGGTCAAAGTAAAACTACGAAAAAAGCACTCATTTTCACTTTTGAATCACCTATTATCGCCCAAATGGCTATATTTTTTCAAGGTAAAGGTCGCCATGTTAAAAGTAGAATTACGGAGATAAATCTGCTCTTCAGACAATGTTTGATAGCTTTTCTTTACCACGGAACAAAGATCTTTGCGCTGGTATGCCCATTTCCATGAGATAATATACGTGAAAGAGGAACTATGTCTTTAAATGTCATCAAAACTTTATGCCAACACGTGAAAAGGCCATTTTGCACTACTTTTGGTGTAATAATTCCATATACTCTGTAATTAGCGCCCAGGGCATTTAGAAAATTAAAAAATACCTCCTTCAGACCAATCTGGCGCTCATATATGAAAGAAGTAAAAAATCCCCCGGAATTTCACAAATGGCAATTTTTCTTGCTTAGAATGACTTTTTGCAACATTAGAACGGAATATGAGCATATCCTTACTTTAATGGAATGGATTGTTTACTATAAAATGGCTTTAAATAAACCAAGAATCTTAATTAACAATATTGCAGAAATCCCCAGTAAAGCCCCATGAATTGAAAGAATTGGTTTTCCGGATTATCTTCATTATTTTCACTAGAGACCATCAGATATGGATCTTATGTTATACCTCAAGATAATAACATAGATTCGAGTAGGAAGTTACCAATTTCACCACCAGGTGGCTCGTTCGGGTCAGATAGCATGGCGGGTATAGTAGAAAGTTCCTTTTAACTTAAATTACATCTGTTTTAGTGGTTCAATTTTCATATAACCCTTATGTGTTTAATAGTTATGATAATTAAAATATGTCCAGTGAAAGGAAAATGTTTTCTGTCCAATACAAGAAAATATATTTCACTTTTTGTGATTTTGTAACATGGGGTCTATGGGGAATCAACCCGAACTAGAAGTCACATTTTCAAAACAAATTTAATTTTCAAAGTTGATAAACAATTTTCGAAACCATATTTCTAGAAGCACTTTTACACGTAGAATGTCGTAGATTTCAAATATGACATCAGTTTGACTGAATTTTGAATATTTACTGACGTAAATGATGTCAAGATTATTTCTACTCGCACCTAGTCTATTGATTTATGAATGATAGATCACAATTTTTCATTTTAAAGTCAGGAGAATAAGGAGAAATGTTAAATAAAAAGAATCAAAGAACTTCATGACCTTGATGATCGCAAGTTGGTTAAATCCGAAAACAATTTTATTAGAGAGTAGGCACTTATTATAGAGGATACGGTAAAATTAATCTGAATTTTTTGGGGCTAATGGGGTTGAACTTTCTTGGAACACTAGGGTGTTTCATTTTTGGAATTTTTTTTCTGATCAAGTTGCTATTCATACATTATGATCTATGGTTAGTAGGGACCGCACAAAAAAAATTTCAGCCAAATCTGACATCGTTTGCCTCACCCCCTCAAGCCATCTTTATTTGACACATTTAGCATGTCATTGAATACATTAGATTCAATTATGAAACATGTACTAAATTGAAAACTGACATATAAAATAGGTGGAGTCCTATATTCTTGTAATAAATGAATTAAAATGTCAAGTAACATTTGATTCAGAAAAATACTTTGCACATATGGCGTTCGTGATCAACTATAAAACGCTTACCCCCCATAGTGTTATATATCAAACTGTACCTGTTCATATAGGGGTTAGATTGATCTACAGAGGTCAACCGACAAAATTGTATACCGAGACTGTAAACCGAGAAACAACTGTCGACAGAGACCGAAGGTCAACAGTAGTTTCAAGGTTTACAGTCGAGGTATATGATTTGACGGTTGACCGAATGGAGAGGTCTACAATTGTTTTGTTAGTCAGAAGAAACTAATAATACACATATAGACGACAGTCATCAATCATGGCTTCATTTCACAACCTTTTCTCCGAACCACGCCAGCAATAATTTTTTAAGAAAATCTGAAGACAGTGGAAGTTAAACTCTCTGTTTTTGGCACATAAATGCATACTCACTAGTAAATTAATGTTAATTTTTCGTTTCTTTTTGTATTTTTGCTATACTTGTCGTCTAGCAAAGTCAAAATATCACTTTCATCAACGTTTACGAAATGTCCGTCTACCATGTTTTTTCTGTAAACATTATGACGTCATATTCCCCATAATTCACAAGTGTAGTACAGTAACATAAGCGGTCAATAATATGATATCCCATGATGCACAGGTGAGGTACAGGCAAAAATGTTGACCGATCATTGACCAATCAGATGCGAGTATTTAAACTGAGGTACTAACATTACTTATTGTTGATAGGACGGAAAGATAAGCTGATGTAGTTACACTGGAGTTAGTTTACTACCATTTGGAAGGCACGTAAGGGTCCCATTTATCAGGTAACACTTATATGTCAAAGTTAGTTCTTGCTATTTTTACCATGAAACCATGGGCTTTCAATTAGAGTTGAGAGCCCATGATGAAACCCACTTACTTCCTGCGAAAGCTATTTGGATTTTGATATAATAGCTTTCCCACAGAGCATTTGGACAGCTGAATGATTGTGACCTTTGAAATCGAATTAAGTCGATCCGCGGCTTACTTTTGGTCTCTAACTGTGTCTTACATCAGTATCATCAATCCGTGTAAGTATTACAGCGCTGAAATACTTCTTTTTTCGATCAAGACTTGTAAATTGTTCGAGTGAAAGTTTTTTAGACCTATTTCCAATATGGCGGTTTGCTAGGTGCGAGCTACGGAACGAACGAAATGAATTTTGAGAATTAGTTAGGTTCGGACAACCTCCAGAGATTTACGAAAATGTCCGAGCAGAAAACGCCATATTGGAATTTGGTAGTAAAACGATCCACTCGACTAACAATTACAAGTCTTGATCGAAAAAGAAGTACTCCAGCGCTCCAATACTAGAGTCCATTTCACTGCTTCAGTTCGTCAGTAGAACGGCAAAAATAAGAAATTGGGAGACCATTGTACAATAATATATGGAAAAGTATATTCATAATGTACATGAATGACATTTGTATATCTTGGATTGCTTCTAGTTTGGCTTATAAAGTGTGTGGCCTCTTATATTTGGATGTTTCTCTGCCATGTTATTTTCAATAAGATTAACATGGCTGAAATTCTTCAAATTACAAGAAGGCACAGGCTTATTGCACAAAAAACTAAAAAATCTGAAATATACAAATGTCATTCATGTACATTATGAATATACTTTTCCATATATTATTGCACAATGGTCTCCCAATTTCTTATTTTTGCCGTTCTACTGACGAACTGAAGCAGTGAAATGGACTCTAACACGGATTGATGATACTGATGTAAGACACAGTTAGAGACCAAAAGTAAGCCGCGGATCGTCTTAATTCGATTTCAAAGGTCACTATTGATCAGCTGTTCACTTCTCCGTTTGAGAGCCATAAGTTTCAAAATCTAACATGGCTCTCGAAGTGAGTAAAAACCGACTGTACTCAATCTATTCTGTGAATTTTGGTTTGCTTTTTGTCTGCTCTTCTTTATAGTCCTTGGAGAGAATACCATTTGGACACACTATTTTTCCAGGAAGAAGTTGTTAATTGGCGATACAAAGTCCTGTAATTGCGTGGGCATTTTCACATATTTGAAATTGTTGAATGTTCTGTTGTGAATTTTCAAAGTTTTTCACATCCGTTTTCTAGATCCAATTTTTCGGCTGAAAACCCTTGGTGAATCTAACATACGCCCCTAAATATCTCTCTTATATCAACTCTCTGTTAAAGAACGAGCATGAGTGACGACAACCAGTTACTCTTTTTGCTATATAAAAGCTAGAATTTATGAAAAATCCTTACCTTTTCGAGGGCGAGGTTTAATCTGGAAATTTTTGATCCTGACGTCACTTATGTATGTGCCATCTATTTAAAGTAATATCTCCCATCATGCACCGCGGGGCAATCTACAACTGATTCGAACTCCCATGCAGTGTCTCGGTATAGGTATATATTATCACTGCACGGGAGTTCGCAACTGATTCGGTTCTTTGATTCGGTTCTCTGCGCATATTTTCTGCTTATCTCAAATGTGATTGGTCGATCTAATATGATACATGCGCAATGGTCATTGGAAAAACCACGATAGAATTTACCCAGGGGGCATTACGTTCAGAGTTTGAACCATTTTGCCACTCTATGTAACGAAAATTTCTTTCTGTTCATCATTAATTTTTGTACCATATTTGCCGCCGCAATCCATTATCATACTTTAATATTCGACAAATAAATATGACCAGTACTGATTTTAGATGTAAAGGTCCAGTGTAAAACAGCTGGTGTAACTGCTTTTCCTAATGATGTTAATCAAAATGTATGCACTTTTTATGGTATAAATGACATTTTTTATCAAAAATTATGAAATGGCAGTAAAATTAAATACATATTAAATTACATATGTACCATATTGTGTTGCTGACTGAGAGGTCTGAAGTATGGGGATACCCAAAATGGCCTTTCACCGAAGTGATAAGTGAACATAGAGTTGCCGCGTTCATTGTACACAAATGGCATACAGTCGCTATGTGACATATTATAACGTATCTTCGGTATATCTACTTTCATAAAAATACCTAACCTCACGATCAATCTTTTAGTCTTTCAAAAATTTTACTTTGAATTCTGTCACTCAGTTGTATCTTATTTACGAGTCAGACTATGACACTTCAACCTGGTCTCGTATGTAAGCTTCTTACCAACAAGTTATTGACCGCAAACACTAATATTGATACCTGATCCAACAAACGAGGCTTTTTTATGACAAAGGCCGGGTCCATGTAATCAAAAATTCTAGTCCAACTAATGGCCCTACTAGAATGGAAATTTTGGCCCGGCTAAATAGTGCCACTAAGAACATGCGAGGAATCGTTGATGGTATGAGGGGTGCTAAAAACCTTCGAATTTTATAATTAAATCCAAATTCTGATCGCAAATCCAAGAAAACGAAACGCAACATTCATTCCGGCATCGCTAAGAAATGGGCATAACTTTGAGGTCTCGCAACAGGCAACTTACAAATGACAAAACGGGATAAAATAAAACGAAATACCTGTAATCGGATCGTATGATCAGGGGGGCATTCGTATGGTGAACATGACATCAATGGAAAAAGCGCTAAAAATTATGTGGATAAACGTTTCCTTGACCAATTTAGCCACTGAAAGTTATTCCGCGAATATATTTTGATCATTTTGGCGGCCTTAATCTACTTCTGATATGACGTACGCCTATTTAGACAAAAAATCCCCGATTTCTATATGAATGGTTTTTTATATTATTCAACGGTAAGTGAGACGGAGGAACCAAAAAACAGTTCTGGGATAAAGAGCGAGATACTATGGCATAATAAATACATACTTAGAGAAGGTAAACAGATATTTAATAAAAGCCTTTTTGAAATGGGGGTTGTTCAAATAAATGATTTACTGAATGGGGATGGTAGTTTTGTGTAACTCAATGATTTTAGATACAAGTTTGAGGTGAGTATCAACTTTCTAGAGTACATTAGCCTAATAACTTCCATCCCAAAGAAATGGAAATCAATTTTAAAAAGTGATCCGAAAGCGAAGTGCGAGACTGAATATGCTGAAAGCATCGAACAGTTTTTTATTGGTAACAAAACGGTCCATATCAAAAATTTGAATAAAAAATGATCCAATTGTACATCAATCAACAATGTTTCTTCGAATCAATAAGCGTTAAGCGCTTATGTTGCAAATATAATGTTAATGCTCGAGAAATATGTTCAATGGTATACGTCTATACGACATAACAAAAAAACACACTTTTTGGGAATTACAGTATAAGATTAACTTATTAATAATATCAATGCCTCAAACTTATATCTTAAACTTGTTGGTATACGTACGAATGATAAATGCGACTTTTGCGGCCAAAAAGAGACGATTGTCCACCGTTTTTGGGAGTGCAAGAATATCAAGCGCCTTTTAAAATACCTCGGAGATCAATGGAGAGAAAAGGATATACACTTAAATGAGCAACACGTCATTGTTGGTTATTTTGATAGGAAACATTTTAGAAAGTTTAATTTTTCCCTTTTAATATTAAAATACTTTGTACATAGAGCTTATTTTTCCAACATGCCATTGACTTGTGTTGGATTTCAAGCCTACCTAACCGAAGGTCCCAGACTGGACAATATTTTTGATGAGTGATCGGATGTGTGTGGTATGCATGAATTCAATGAATGTCGTGTGATCGGAATGGGTTTTCAATGGGTTTTGTATGTTGAATTGGTATATATCTATTTCTATTTCCTTTATAATAACGGCTCATAGCAAATCACTTGTATCTTGTCTTGTGTAACGAAAATGTATATTGAGAAAAAAATAAACAAAAAAAAAACACTCAAATACGATGAGAGTAAATGAGGTGTGTACTGATTAGAGTGCACTCGGTTGAGAGTGTCTGACGATGGTGCACTACATGTAGGGTGAGAGTGTGTACTGACGAGGGTGCACTCGGATTAGAGTATGTGATGACGAGAGTGCACTCGGGTGAGAATGTGTACTGACATTCAACTATTAAATTGTGTTCCCGATCGCGAGATTCATGTACTGACTGAATGATGTACAAGAATAATATACTTAGAAATAAATCCCACGAATATTGAACTTTAAGATCAGTGATTATGTGTGTGATATCGTTACACGTTTATATTTTTTGATTGAAATAATTACTTTCTATACTTAAAAGTAAAACTCAACTCGAGATAAGTATTTGAATAAGGCCCGTCGAGTCCATGGGCATCAAAAAAGTTCTGTGACACGGACATTGTATTTTTTAATATGATTTCCCCGCCAATTTATATACAAGGTTGTTCAAAAAGTTTTGCACAAATATATCTAATTATGAAAATAATGAACCAATCTTGCTCATAATTGGTACACTGTTAAGGTTTCATGTATATACGTCTACTAATTAACATTCTACGGTTGCTATAGTTACCAAGGCGATTACGTAATTGTCCATATCATTTTGAAAAAACAAAACTAGTAATGTATAAAGAACAATATTACCAATCATGCAAAATTTACTTACATGAAATGTCAACTTACACCCTATGCAGACAGAGCCTGTGGGAAATATTGGGTGCGGCGCAAATGAGCGGAGGGTGCGGAGCTAACGGTCATTTTTGAATTTAAAATTGGGGTATTTCTGAAACTAAGCCGTTTTGGGACTTCAAATATACCAAGATATGTGTATTTGACACCAAATATCAATAAAATTGTGAAAATAGTAGTGCAATTCATTTTATAGCGACGCAGTATGCCTTAAACATTTCCCAGACCTATATATTTTGAGACTATCCTTTTAACACTGCGTCCCCAGCATTCATATTGAAATGGTGTTCAAGATACACTACCCATGCAAATTATTTTTGCATCTTGGAAGCCAGGCAGTATCTGTGTGATTTTATAAAACTTCGGAAATGTTCTTCAGATATGAGCCCCCTCTAAATATTGGGTGCGGAGCTACGTTTATGGAGCTGCTCCGCACCCAATATTTAGAGGGGGCTCATATCTGAAAAACATTTCCGAATTTTTATAAAATCACACTGATACTGCCTGGCTTCCAAGATGCAAAAATAATTTGTATAGATAGTGTACCTTGAACACCATTTTTTATGAATGCTGGGGACTCAGTATTAAAAGGATAATTTCAAAATATATAGGTCTGGGAAAGGTTTAAGGCACACTGCGTCGCTATAGAATGAATTGCGCTACTATTTTCACAATTGTATTGATATTCGGTGTCAAATACACATATCTTGGTATATTTGAAGTCCCAAAACGGCTTAGTTCCAGAAATATCCCAAATTTAAATTCAAAAATGACCGTTAGCTCCGCACCCTCCGCTCATTTGCTCCCCACCCAATATTTCCCACAGGCTCTGTCTGCATAGGGTGACTTAGATTTAAACAATATCTAGTTTTGTTCTTCTGGCAAAAGTGAATCTAATATCAATATTTCCCATCTTGTTTTCTTTGATCATGCCAAATGCCTTTGATCATGCCAAAGGATGACCATATAGTACTACGGCCAAGGCCGTTTGTGTCCAAAACACCTAGATTCAATTTGACTTTAGATTCTTGTAGGGGACCCCAAGGCATGTAAATAAAGTTTGTGAACCCTTGCAAAGCAGGCTCAAAAGTGCTGAGTTATCATTTTCGAGTCGGGATTTGACCATATGCTTGAAACCAGTGACACTGTTGTAAATGGCTATCCTTGCTATTCTGAAGATAGATGTCAGGCTACACTGGACCATTATCTGAATGGAGTAGGAGCATGCGAGAAGGTCTACTGGTATACCTGAATCAATTTCTGACAAAATTTGGAGCAATTATTATAATAGATGAAGAAAGTAGCATAACATTTATAAATAATATTTTTGTAGAACTATTGTTTAATTATTGCTTTCGAAACATTGTGTACACTTCAGTAGAAGGGTAGGCAACTTCTCATATTTTCCATACATAAGCATTGTCTTGGGTTTTCAAAATTGGAGAAGAAATGCTTCCTATACACATTTCAGGGAAAAACTTGGAAAACTTTTCATGTTTGATTTTAAGAACAAGGACAAGTTGGGACCTCCATAGACTTAACATTGCGTGGGACCTCGTGGGACCTTTTGGGATTTTGCCCCATGAAGTCCGTGGGACTCCATGGGACTCCGTGGGATTTTGCCCCATCTTGCCCCACCGAGTCCCATGAAGTCCCACGTGGGACGCGGTGGGACTCGATGGGGCAAAATCCCACAAAGTCCCATGGAGTCCCATCGAGAATGAACATGTTCATTCTTTCCATGGGGCATCGTGGGATTTTCGATCATATGACGTGTTGTGTGAAGCCCGACATACACCAATGGGGCACGGTGGGATTTGATGGGACTCCATGGGGCTTGATGGGACTCCATGGGGCAAGATGGGTCAAAGTCATCAAGGTCCCATGGGACTTCGTGGGATTCGATGGGGCAAATTGGGATTCGATGGGGCAAGATGGGACTCGATGGGGCAAGTGGGATTTTGGCCCATTGGTGTATACCGGGCTTAATAAGCTGAATCTTGATTCCAGAACTTTCGCCATCATAAAACTATGATTGTAAAAAAACACAAATGAATGCCCAAACATCCGCAATATTAGAGAGTTTGAAAGAAAACGGCTTCACTTAGAATGACTCTAACTGAAGTTGATGATGACAACGTCAGCTAGAGTCATTCTAAGTGAAGCTGTTTTATTTAAAATCCACCCATATCGCGGCTGTTAGAGCATTTATCTGTGCTTGTTTTATTAGTTTGCATGGCGAAACTTTTGAAATCCAGATTCAACTTGGTTTAGCTGAAGGAGGTTTGTCGAAAACGATAGAACTTCGGCAACCATCTTGAATGACGCTAACTGCAGTTAGAGTCATCCAGCTGTGGAACAGTGTTAACAATCCTAATTTTTCCACTGACGGTCAAAGTAAAAAGTAAAGCATCATCCCGAATATTTGGAAACGAAATGATTTTACATATTTTAATACCGTAGATGTATATTTCCAGATCGATTCAGTGTCTCTGGTGTTTTATGCTCGGCTGTGGCTTATGTATAGTTCAAGTCGATTTTCATCGAGCTATCGCGTTCATTGCGATGTCACAGCCACTGCGACCACCGACGTCGCATCCCGGTAGTTGATTCGCCAATTGACGGGTTAAAAATTAATAGGTTAATCCGGTAGCCAACAGCTGAAAGTTGCATTGGCAGGAATCAGAACTACC